GCTGATAGCTGCCAACATCCGCAAACAAATATAATTCTATAAAGTGGTTCTATATATTGTGTAACTGTTCATATAGAGCGTTATTAAATTTATTGCTAATGCAATCATATGGCACACTGACTTCTGAGGAAATTTTAAATGGCACTCGCCATCAGAAAGGTTGCCTACCCCTGATATACTGTATATATATGTATATACTTATCTGTGTTTTCTTCAAAATTTCCCCGCAGGCTTTTGAGAACACACTGAAGTCATGGGAGGACAAGCTCAAGTATGATAAGCCTCCTTTGCGACCTCACCTCTACCCTCAGCAGTCTGTGGATCTAGCCACAGAGGAGGAGGCAGGCCTGGTGCAGATGTGTGCCCGGGCTGCAGAAGAGCTCATTACAAGGTAAACTTGAATTGATGTGAATATCAGGTATCAGTCGCCGTGTGGACAGGCTTCCCAGACTTTGTTACCTTGAGCTAAGCTCACTGACTGCGCTCTGTGTAATCACAGGATATGTGAGGCTGCAAAGACGAACGGGCTCTTAGAGCAGGAACTGGCTCACGCTGTTAATGCTGCATCACACGCCATCAACAAAACACACCCGAAGTTCCCCGAGGTGAGCTGGGTTTAGCCTGATTTTTGAGACATTGACATTGTCTTGAGAAAGTCTTTTACAATTCACTGTTGCATCCTTAAAACTGCCGTTTAAAATAATTAATTCTTGTCAAATAAACATGACTTTTTCTTGCCATTAGAGGTCACTGAAGTCAAAGCTTACATTTAAGATGTACCACTTATTGTTTTAAGGAGACTAATGAGCACTGTTCCAGGTGCAATTTCTTGCTCTTGAGATATTTGAATCTTTAAAAGCTAGGCACTGTGTTTCAGACAAATCTTTTAAAATGTGGTATTTTCTGCCATATTTCAAAATGACAAAGTCAAGTACTTGAGTACTTGAGTCCAGTTTACAACATTCACAGTTTTAGTTGAACTGCTGCTAAAAGTTAAGCTAAGTTTATTTCTTCATTGGCCATTAATATAATAATAAAAGTGCCCTTTAAGTAATTACTATATGTGGCAATGTGTGAATTTCCTCCATTGTTAATTGATGTTTTAAGGGTTGTTTAACTTGTTCTGATTAAGCACTTACTTTATCTTATATTAAACCCCTGAAGAGAGGCTAAGCTACTAAAATAGCATCTAGAACTGTGTGAAATATGTGCACTCTGCTTCTGTTTTTCATGGTGTGTAACATTGAATTCTTTTTACAGAGCCTTACTCGGAACACAGCCATTGAGGTGGCCAGCACTATGAAGGCACTCCACAATGAGACCGAGTCTCTTCTGTTGGGCCGAGTCTCTCTGGTGAGTTATCATGGCTGAAATAGATTGTTTCAATCCTACTTTCTTTTTATATGTTTATGAAACAAAGACTTGAAGGCAGTGTACTTTAAAACTAGATTATTTCTAATGGTGAAAGAATCTTGGTGGAGGGGATCACAGTCTTGTTATGGAAAACAGCCTCTGGCTCACTTGCTCTGTGCCCTTCGTAAATACTTTCCTGATCAGTTTATAGTTTAAGTCACCAGTTTCTGGTCTTGCTGAATACAACATGATGTTGTTTTTGTAAGTCATGGTGTCCACTGCAGCCAAGAAAGTCAAGTGGGCTATGCTTTAAGGCAGACCTGTTTTGTGATGAATTAGTCACTGGTCCTCTTAGGGTGCTGTGTAAAATATATACCTAGATCCATCTCTCACTCATCTGGCATAGGGGGAATGCAAGAATGCTTACTCTGAGACTTCATAACAGGATTTTGCCATTTGCTGCTACATCCATCTTGTATTTACAGTCTGTGGTTTTATTATAACTTGGGATCCTGATGTTAAGGTTGCATTATGGTGTGTTAAATTCACCTTGTTCTCTGTCATCCTTACAGCAACTGGACCCACCAGAGGAGGAGCAGCTGTCCAGCGCTCTGCAGAGCGTGGAGCTGGAACTTGGGAAACTGGGAGAAATCCCCTGGCTTTACCACATCCTGCAGCCCAATGATGAGGAGGTAAGCAGCCTCAGTAAATATGCGTTTGCATGCACATGCTCCATTGTGTGTGGTATCTTTGTAAAATAGAAGACATTAGGTACATTGTGTACTCCTGCAACTCAAAGCTAAAAGTGAACACTATGGAGTTATCTGCAATAACAGTGCCTTCAAATATGGTCACATTGTCACTGAAAGTACAAATATGAGCTTCAAATTTAACACACAAATCATTGTGCTGTTCTTGTCCATCCCTAATATTCTGACAGGGAAAAATATTTGGAAAGCAAAAACTCAGAACAACAAAAGCTAATTGGAGGCTGTCAGTAAGTGTAAAGTAAGTAACTTTCCCACCAGGACTGAAAGATAATAATAGTTTGTTATCGGCTTAAGCATAGTGTGCATACATATTAATACTTGTGGCTTAGATGACTGACTGATCAGTTACTGACCAGCTAAATCCAAAGTGTTCACACAGCTGTCTTGCAGCTGTCCTGTATGTCTTCAGTGTAGCATGGCTTCAGGTAACAGGAGAGTCGAGTAGCTAAATAAAAGGCTATAGGTTGACTGTGCTTATGTACCAGGATCACTCTCTGGGTTACGGCAAGAGGAACAGTCGCAGCAGCATGTTTCGCATAGTGCCCAAGTTCAAGAAGGAGAAGGCCGCCAAGAAGACAAGCCCTCAATCAGGTAGGGCTGTGTCCACTTTTCCTCAGTACTGAGCAAACTGGAAAAACTCATGATAAGGAAGCAGTAAGTCCCTCCCATGTGCGTTGGGAGGGACTTACTTACCATCTGCCTTATTTGTATTTACACTGTATAATTGTTTCCACCTCTTATTAAAAAGGATGATAACAATAAAATCATAGTAATTTTTGATTTGTTAATCATAACTTGAAGTTAGTTGAATTGAAAGGGTACAGATGTTATTTCACTTGCTATTCACTTGCTAATGGCAAGCAAGATGTTTAGCGGGAAGTGGTACCATACTTTATTCTTCAGTAATGTAAAGCTGACCACTGCTCCATCACACACACAAGAACAGCTTGTTTCTGCCCAGAGTCATCACGGTTACCTTTCATGATGGTTATCTTGCCCCTCACTCCTGTTGTTTTTGAAGCCCATGCATAAATGTTGTACTCCATTGTCGTCCCCTAGTAGAAACACAAAGAATGTGTGTTTGAATGTGTTTGAGGTGTTAACATCCCACACCCTGACCATCAACTTGCACCCCATACTCCCCTCTTTTCATGCTCTTATCCAGCTGTCGGTATGTTTTCAGAAGGTACAAAGTCGGGAGAAGAACAAGTCTGTGCACCAAGGACACATGTGCAGAGATGGAAGAGTTCATATGAACACAAAAAAGAAAAACTGAGTAGAAAAGGCAATATAGGATTTGTAGATGAGGAGACAGTGAGATTACAATGTTGCTGTGTACAAATAAGTATACTGAGAAGCCCTTCCTTCTATCTGGGGCATTTTCCTGGGTAGTTGAGCTGTATTTCCTGCAGATTGCACAGGCTTCCGCCTCCCTTTACCTCCTACTTTTCTCTGTGTGCGCTGATATTGGTCAATGATGTGCATGCTCCCAGCCTGCCGTGAACGCCATTGGTCACTGCCTTGTTCTGACCAACCTTTGGCCTCTGTCCCACTCCTTCCTCATCTACCAGCTGCCGTCATTTTTCTTTCTCCTCCCTTCTTCTCTCTCTTCCCTTCCTCCCCTCCATCTCTCTCTTCAATGATTTACCACAATCTGTGTCCATTGGTGAGGTTGTGTGTGTGTGTTTGAAGACACATTCACAGAGTATATGTGGTTAAAAGAAGTGAGAGTGTGACAGTTTGTGGAATGTGGCAGTGCGTTTGCATACCCGTGAGGCACTCTGAGCCTCTCTCTGCTCTGCTCTGTGTGTGCATTTTTGTGCGTGTGTGTGCGTGTGCGCACATGTGTGTGTGCGTGTACAGTGGAAAGATGGGGCACAGAGGAGGTGGGCATCTGGCTGGAACAGCTGAGTCTGGGGGAGTACAGAGACACCTTCATCCGACACGACATCCGAGGCTCAGAGCTGCTGCACCTGGAGAGGAGGGACCTGAAGGTACTCTCTCACTCACACACACATATACACACACACACACACACACACACACACACACACTGGTACCCACTTGTTGTCACATCTCAGTGAATCTGTGTGAACCCCCTCCTCCAATCCAAAATCAACTCTTTCTCTCTGTACCCTCTTGGTGTGCTGCGTTTCTTTCGCTCTGTTAGATGTCTCCCTGTTTTTGCCACCTCTCGTGCTGCGCTGCATCGCTCTGCTTGGCTTTTACCGTCTGATCGTGGCTTGTTGAAAAAGACTTGCTGTAACCCACTAACACTGTATACCTGCTGAAAAGGGGGGAAGCCTTCAGGTCAAGGAGGGGCTCGGTGTGGATAGACCAAACTGAGTTAGGCTTAGGGCAAAAATGAGAAAAAAACGAATGCATATAGTGGCAGTCTTGAAAAAACTGTGTTGCAACATGAACGTGGAGCGAACAAAGGGAGCAGAAACATAGCCTTTCTAGGAACTGTTCGAAAGCTTGTGCAGTCTCTACTGTCTTCAGTCGTATGCATATAAACACTTGTCAAACAAAACAGCTTGCAGTTTCAGATTATACTGTCAACGTGTATATCAGAACATGAGGACTAGAACATTCTACTTTAAAACAATCTGTCAAAAAAAGTCAAAAGCACATTCTTTACTGTGTAACGTAAGTTAGAACATGACTGTGGTTTTTGATGCTATTTTCATAATACACTGTAGTGAAGTGTACAAGACAACTCATAATAATAATAATAATAATGATAATAATAATGTTGATCTGGGTTGTGTAATATCCACTGAACCTCCAGGTAACGATCTTAAAATAGAAGGACACTGGAAGCCAAGCACAGGTGCACAAGAAGACAAACTTGAAGTTATTATGAACCACATTTAAATCAAGTATGGACTTTTTTTCCCTCAATCTTCTCAGTTGCACAGTTAATGCTTCGTGGGTTTTTTTGTGCTCAGATGAAAACTGATGATGAGGGTGTTTTTATCCTAGAGACCACTCCCATAAAAATACAAATGTTTCATCATAGGGTAAACGTTATCACTCAGAATAATTTTGATTTGACATTTCAGTGACTCTTTTCTCTACACAGAGAGGTGGACATAAACCAATAGCATCAAAATACCCCCCACACCATATCAGGTCAAGGTTTAAGGTTATTTTCCTTTGATTTCTCGACCATCTCTTTACACATGTTAAGCTGAAACACTGGTAAGCAACAACTATGTATCTTTAGATATCCTATAATAATTGGCTGATATTTGCACTGATAATATATCTGTGATAAGCTGGTATTGCCAAGTAAAATCAATCTACCTGTTTGATTTGTTAAAAATATCAGTACAAGAAAATTGAATACCATTGTTTATGCAAACACACACAAGATACCCAGGTTCACATTTGTATGGCAATATACTTGTGTTCGTTCTATATCTGTGCCCCTCATTTCATTGTCTTACAATTTATCACTCAGTCATACTGTGGCTAGCTGTCTATGTTGCTTGGTAGTTTATATTTGAATGGATAAAAGTACAGATTCAGTGACTGATATATATTGTTTATTGATATACATTGATTGTTTTGAGTCATTTAAAGGCCAACCGACTCTGATTCCTTTGTCTTACATACATATTTGCTAGTTGTTTGAGCCTCCAAGTCTGAGGCCATGGAAGAGGATGGAGTGCCGACTCTGGGTCAGGGAGGAGTCACCGCCCCACAGTTTAAGCATCTCAGGTTCTTGTTCACAAGTGAGGGGAGAGTGGAGCTGGAGACTGATAGATGTATTGGTGCCACGTCTGCAGTAATGCAACGCTGTACCAGTTTGTTGTGGTGAAGAGAGAGCTGAGCGTATAAGCAAAACTGTCAGTTTGCTTGTTGATTGTCTTCCCCAGCTTCCCCTATGGCCATGTGCTCTGGGTAGTGACAAGGCTTTTCTGGGAAGAGGCCCTAGGGACAGACCCTAGACAGCTGTCCCCCCTCCCATTCTGCCTCCCGTTTGAGCTGGAGGAGTTGTTATGGTTAGAAAACATAACAAATTGCCGATGCTTGTGTCCAACGCACAAGGTTGCATCTAATAAGATCAGAAAAGACAAGGTTACATTTTGGTTTACTAATTTGAAGCCTTGGGTTTTTTTCCAGGTCTTTTAAAATTACTCATAACATATTTGTAGCTAATTTTGTAGCTAATAAGCTAACAATAGTACTAGTGCTAGTAAGCTAGCTTTGGGAGCATACTGAAACTAATATGATTATGATATTTATTTGGATTTTAGGTTTTCACTAGTTGACTTCAGGCTTTAAATGAACATACTTACCGGGGAATTTGAACAGTCAAACATGAACTGAACATCTGAGGGTTGGATCTTTATGAAAATCTGAAGACACTGGAGGCAACTTCTTTATTAAAAGCTATCCACCTTTTTTTTATTTGGTTACTCTATATCGTATCATTACAGACAATATTAATGCCATATGATGTATTGAAGCTGTTGTGCTTAGTGATAGATACTGGCAATTGAGAGCTCATTTTCTCAGAGACTTTTCTAAAATCTGTTTTCCTCTCCATTCAACAAGAGGGATTTAAGTCTGTATTATACAGTCTATGGCTTTTAGCTGCCAAAGCAATAGATCATTTTCACAGAAGGTGCTGACCAAAACCAGAGCAAAAAATATGGCAAGTTAACCATCGAACCATTTTCACAGTCTTAGTTTGGTACATTAGTATCTATTCATTAACACATTGCTCATGATGTCAGTGGAAATTTATATTCAGTTTACATTTTTCTGCAAATGATAACTATATATGTCATAATTTATCTCAAATGTGACATGAATGGCAGCCCACCTTATAGCTTTTAGTAGCTTCTAAAGAAAATTTGATTAAAGATATATTTCTGTGGACATGATTTGCCTAAATATTCCTAAGATATATTTGTTAGATCACTATGAAATGTTTTAATTATTAATATTTTATAGTTTTGACACTATTAATACTGATTTCTCCCACTATAGATTATGAAGCAACCTGGTGTGTAGCCTTTAAACGTTTGATTTCTAGTGCTGTTCATACCAGACTGTTTATATCACCCACTCGACATTTATTTATGATGGTGTGAAACAGACCTCTCTCAGCGTGTTTTTAATTCCTGTCTTTGTTGGCCCTCAGGATCTGGGGATATCGAAAGTGGGTCATATGAAGAGAATTCTCCAGGGAACTAAAGACCTGGCCAAGGCCTCCATGATTGACCTCTAACCCAGGAGCAAACGCTACCAGAAAGGGGAAACGTGCATTCCTCCTGACTTAGTGGAAGTGTTTGGGAGCACCATAGGCAGTGGTGGAAGAGATATGTATTGAAGGAGAGATGGATATTTGATCCCTCTGCTGAGAAAGTCTGTGTGATGTCGTGATCAAGATACATGTGCGTGTGTTTGTTTGTTCTTTGGTGCCAAAATGACAATCGAGAATGCTGATGGAAGTCACACACACAAAAAAGCCATTTCTTATTTAATAACCATTCATAGCACATAATCAGGTATGCAACTAACCTTACTGTTGACAGCTTGTTGTCTGAGTTGTGATAACAAACTAGTAGCAAAACTAAGACTTCCATAGGTGTGGGGTTCTGCTTCAGTTGAGTCTGTGTAAAAAATGTATTTGCTGGCTCTCTGCCTCACATTACAGAGCTGCACATGCAGAACAGAATAATCTGGACCATGCAGGTGGTTGTCTGGAAGCTTTGTTTGAAAACAGTGGGATACTGTTGCATGCTATGCTTGCTCAACCTTAGATGTGTTTAATTGCATGATTAGTGTCTTGATTTTTTTTGTGTGTATGCGAGTGTGTGTGTGGGTGTGTGTGTCTGTGTGTGTGTGTGCAAAATGACACTTGAACAAGTTTTACATAACATAAGTATTATAATGCCATTTGTTACTACTGAAAACATCATTTTTGGTCTAAATCCAACTTTTTATTCTAGCTTTAAATTATTTTGTTTGCATGATAATGACATGTTTAAAAGGTTTCTGTCAAGTGCCATATTTTGAGTCATTTCGTGTAAGACGTGCTTTAATGGTAGACATCGTAAGAAATCTTTAAACAAGTTATCGATGAGTTATGATTTTATGAAATTAATAAGTTGACACGTTCTCTGTGGATGTGAAAAATCAGTACCAAAGTGAATGTTTTTGTCTTTATTTAATAAGCCAGTAGGTTTTAAGTCTTAATTTCATTTTAGGTGGGAAAAAGCTGTATTAGTCAGGAAGAGAGTAAAACTGTTGGTCAGACGCCAACCACCTATACTATAGGGTTGTAGAGATTTTTTAAAGGAATTCTTAAACAGGCACTTTCTACTTCTTGCTTCATGCAAGTGCAAATCCTCATATCATTGCATAGAGTTAACAGTTCACCTCAACTTTTTACCTTTTGGCAACTTAATACAGTATTTAACACTATTGAGGAGTTAGATATGAGTTTTGAATAGAGCAGTTGATCTGCAGTCTGCTTAACATTGTTCAAGTGCAGCTTTTTCAGTTTTTTTTCTCCTTCAAATTCCAAGTGAGACTTTGCTAGAATGCTACTTCTAATTGTTAGTTTCATTTAAGACTGGTGGCATTACAGGGTATATTTCTATATGTGATGCTAAGTTTGTATATAATTATGCACTGTATATACAGTAAACCAGTGTATGCAAACAATGTTTGTAAGTGTAATCTGATGCATTTGTAGACATGGCATGCATTGTCGACAGCCCACACATTCGATTGTGTACATTACACCATACCAGTTGTTGTTGATTTTGTTCTAATCTCTTGTACATGATGATGCTGTTGTATTCTAATGATGGTGCAATATTTTAATCTCTTGTTTTGATACTGTCTCTGAAACTTTCCAAACATGATGTTCCTCGGTGGGTAAAAAAAAACACCACAGAAAAACCTTGTAAACGTTCTTTTGTACTCTTCCTCGAGGTTTGAGGATTTTCAAAGTTAGACCCAGAGACAGACAGACAGCTTTTTACTCCAGATTTCTTCCAGGGGTTCAGTAGTTTATAGTTTTGCTCCTTTGTGCTTCCAAGATGATACACTAAAGTAGGACTGTGCCAGCGAATGGGAGAGATTAGGCAGGCATGACTGTTGTGTTCACTTCATGTATCCTGTTGTAACGTGTGCATTCAAGTGTGTGTACTACAACAGTGGCATATTGTACAGTTGTATACTTTTCATTGCCAGCTAATTTTACAGTATAATTGAAAATTTTGCCACACCCATAGACTAATATGCCACCCAAGCAGAATGTGAACGAAACTTTGGAATTGTGTGTTCCCTCCACCAGGGGGCAATCTATCACATCTCACACCTCTACAGGCCTAGATTACACCATTAAACTGCATTATCTTCCAGCTCCTTATGCTGACAATCAGGTGCTCATTGGCATAAATAAAGTTACAGTCCAATTTGAGTTTTTATCATTCAGTGTTCATAAAACTACAAATTTGTCAGACCTTCCCATCTTTTTAGTCTCATATGCCTTTTATCCATTAAATAGATGAGACTAATGACAGTTAGCCTTTTGTAAACCAGAACCCTTTGTTAAGTTATAGACGCCTTTCTGTTAGTATGTGCTTTATACAGTGCTAGGGTGCTCTACGCTGCTTCTTTGCTGCAGCGCTCTTGAAGTTTGGCCTCACATCCATGTACTCTCATCACGCCAGTCACCAAACGCAAGTTGTGAATGATGCTGTTGCAGTTCATGAGCTGTGTCTGTCTGCATTAATGGCGTCTGCATGTCCAGGGTGTCTGCCAGGTTCTGTTAATCTGAAGCATTTTGGCCCCAGGCTCCAGCTTGACCTTGCCATATACAGTGGAAGTTGCCACCTTTCTCCCTTGCTGTGTTTTCCAGTGGTCTGTAAATAATGCTGCAAACTGCCTGGTTTTCAGAAACCAATGAAACCCATGCAAGGATCTCTAAAAGATGGATTTAACACTTGGTGTGGTTATCGAAGCGTTGGGAGAAAAGTGAGTTTCATTTGTTTACATTATGTTTACAATGGCACAGTTTTACTTTTTAAGGAGATATATGTAGGTATAGACAATATTTGCATATTTATTGCCTAAGGTTAAATGATATGATGTATATTGTGTTTTCACATTTGGAATATAATGTTACAGTTGTCACCTGTATTACTATCTGGATGATTTTGGTAAAGTAGTTGATCATTTTTATGACTACTAAGTGACTGTTTTCTGTGCCTTTTTATGGTTAGAATGCATGGTTAACTATTTATTACAATTTGGAGTCACTGAGATGTGTATTTTTGTATTCTGAATAAATAAATGGTTCAGCTTTTGTTGTACATTTTTAAGGTGCCTTGAAACAGGCTACCTATTCATATCTCTCTTCTTCAATAAAATCGGATACATATGCAATCTGACAGGCTCTTCTTTTTTCATTAACACTTTAAACAAAAGGATTGTGTCTTATAATTTCAAAATATGTCGAGAAAATGGAACACGTTAGTGCCATTCTATCTCCTTTAATGCAACACAGCCCTTTTTAAATGGGGTGGCACGAAGGTGGTGACCAGAAAATATATATCAGCCATTAATTTTTCTTAGACAAGAACAACAAAACATACTCAAATTTCCTAAATAAACTGGCTGGTTTGTTTACTCTTTTATGCTCTCTCTGCTTTGATCAGCTTGTTTGTTGTTTTTGTGGCATTCCAAACAGGTGTTTTGCCAATGGGAACGTTTCAAAGTGCCCTCTGGTGGGCAAACTATGCATTGTTAACACTCATAACTTTTTAATTTTTCAAATGTATTTTGCGACTGTTGTACATGGCACCAGATACACTGGTACATGTCTGCTGATAATACTATTCAGCTTAAATCAGTCAAGTTCTCAACAATAGAAGAAAAAAAGTGACTGAAGTTTTGAGTCCAGTCTGAAACCTGAACATTTATCTCAAATGGATTACTTGCACATACACTACACTCATTATTTGAAACGTTGGTTGCGTTTAACAGGAGCATCCAACACTGGAACAGTATACAGGTGTGCCACAGAAAATTTAAAAGGGGTAAATTTGAATATATCCAGGCACATACAAACAACAATGCCTACAAAGACATTTTCTATTTTCATTTTGATAATTGTGACCTGCAGTACAGAAAATAAAGCAAATAAAATCATATCAATCATATCAGAGTTTGAATAAATTACTGTTCAAATAGTATGACTACAATACATCTCTTATTGTAGGTCAGTACACACAACCACAGTCATGGGGAAGACCAGTTGTGGTTATCCAGATGATCATCAACAGGGCTGCAGAACATCACTGCTAAAAAAGTTGCCTGTTTGCAGAGAGCTGTATTAATCAATTGTCCTCGTTGGAAGTGAAAAGTGTGGTAGTAAAAGGCGCACAAGCAACTGGGATGACCAGGAGTAAAACCTTCGGTTGTTACATTCCTAATATCACAATATAACTGGAGACATTATAAGCATCTTTCTTGGTCTAAGAAAAAAAAAAGAACCACACTGTTGCACTCTGGTCCTAGTCCACTTTTCAGATGAAAGTAAATGTTGCATTTCATTTAGAAATCAGCATCCAAGAGTCAGGAAGGAAAGAGGAACAGTGGAGAGTGTTTGAAGTCCAGTGTGAAGTTTCCACATGCTAATTTGGGGGGTCAGCAGCTGTTGTTGCTGCTTTTGGTCCAAAGTCAGTGCTGCTGTTTACCAGGAAGGGAACTTCATGATGCTATCTACTGACAAGCTTCATGGAGACGTCCATTTCTTTTTCCAGCAGAATTTAGCTCCTGCCCACAGTTCCTAAACTACTACTTAATGGTTTGCAAACCATGTTACTGTTGTGCTCTGACCCGACCTGTGTGTGGTAGATGACAAACACAGATGAGTTGATGTTTGCTATCAAAGCAACCTTAGCTTGAGATGATGATGACTGTAGCAACAGGTTAGCAGGTCTGTTTGCTGTAAGCCCACAGTATCTCAACATAACACAGCCGGTGGGCCTAGAATCCCACCTGTTAACACCCCAAACCTTTCCAAGTGAAGCTAATTTTTGCTAATATGTTTTGGGAATTTACACTTTACAGTTTCTCTGTTGTGCTGTGAGATTAATCACTCGTGTCAAACAAAAGAATAGCTACATTGTGACTTCAGACTTTTGTGGCATTTAGAGAGCTATTTTATACGACCAGACCCCCGAGCATTTCCTTCCGCATCCACTCTTATGATTAGACTTTTCTTTACTGAGATATTCTCTCTTTGTAGTATTGCTGTAGCTCACTTCTACTTTTCTGCTTAAAATTCCTCCTGATATTTATTTTTATCCCAAGAGGCTAAAACCAACAGAAAGACTGTCCAGCTATATTATTGGTGTTGATGTTCACATGATAAGTAAAGGTATCCAGAACGATGAAGGGTGGGTGGTCAAACAAGAAGGCAATGTATATCTATGCCAGGTATATGTCAAAATCGGTTTTCTATGATGATGCATTTTTATTGTTATTGTTGTTGTTTTTAAATAATACTCAGTGTATGTGTGTGTGTGCGCGCCTGTGTTTTCATTGTTCTGTCTTCAGCGGCAGTGCGACACTTATATTTTTTTTTTCGGTGTGCGATTGATTATGCCTCATTCTTGTTTTCATGGGAAGAACGGCAGCACGCAATAGATGGGGATTTCGAGTCAGGTTTAGGAGCTGTCTAAATTAATCTGCAATTTGCCTGAACTCCTCCCGGTGACTTTTGGGCTGTGTTTTGGCGATTGGGAAGAATTGACATAGTTATGGTATTTAATCACAGAGGTCCTAGACACTGCTGTGCTCAGTGTGACTTGAAAGTTCACGTTTTCATTTTGTGGTCGGAAGAGTTCCAAACGGGTGAATCGTTTACGAATCGCGCATCAAACACAGCGGCTACCGTCAGCGCTGCTGGAGTCCGACACTGAGCGAAGAGGTAAAAATGACTTACTAATAGCAATTGCGACGTATATGCTAAACGAAAAATGACCACAAACTGCTGCCGGTTTATCTGGATGTGTCGTATCGCTGTCATTAGCTTGGTGGCTAGGTGCTAGCTGGCGACGTTAAGGTGACAACAGACCGAGCGGACCGCGGCCTGGTTCTGCTGCTAACATAGTGATTGACAGCCTGTCAACTAACAAAGAGGTTTATTTTGCTGTGGTCGACAGTCTTTTTAAGTGTGCCCAAGGTTTGTTGTGTACTCTGTATGTCTATGTATAATGTGCCTTTGCTAGCTAGCTGGTTAGGCGTTTGTGTGTTCTGGCCATGATTTCACAGAGCCTGAGTAGTCGTGAATCAGCCTCAGCATCCACGGTGTGTGGCTCTTCTGCGGCCTGCTGCTGCGGGGGGTACCAGCCCCGCGAACTGTAAATTAGCCAGCTTTCTTCCTCCAAAGCACCCCAATGCTTTTTTACGTCTATTAAAAATCTAGCAGTGTTTACAGGCATTTATTCATCCATAAAGACGACAAGCATGCAGTGTTCAGGGGGAGTTGTCAATGCCAACAAGTCATGTTATGCGAAATGTTTACATGTAAATGGTTCGAATAGCAGTTAACATGCAGATCAAGTTATCATTTTGTTGAAAAGAAATTTTACATAGAAAATGGCAAATGTGTTATTTTGTCTATAAAATAACACATTTGCACGTGTTATTTCGGAACATCACAGTGGTGGCTATTAAAGGAAAAGCCACTGGAACTGAACATTTGCATTGTGCTGTTCCAAAATGTTTTTAAAAAGTCGAGTCCTGACCTAAAACCAACATCGAAACTAAAATAATTAGTGAAAGTTGTGAGAATTATTGAGTTAATGTTTATATAAACTGCATTGTCATATGATTAGCTGTACAGTAGGGCTGTAATTAAATAGTTGTTTTCGTCCTACCTTTTTCTTGTCTTTATATCAATGTATTTGTGTTTTGCACCACATAAAAAGCACAAGTGCAACATTCCTCAGAACAACATTAAAAAACAACTGCATTTCATTTAGATGAAATGAAGTATGTTTAACTACACTGTGAGCAAAAGATGAATAGGTTATTGAGGTAATGCTGAGCCTAAAGCTGTGCAACATTAAGGCTTAATACTTTGACCTGTTTTGTCTACCAATCAAAAAGTAGCTCATTGCGAATAAATTAAATTTGCTGCCCTCCCATTGCAGTATATAAACCTTAATTTCTCTTCCTGCTAAGAGTGGGATAAATAACCCCCCCCCCACACCTGTTTTGTCCTTCTGTGGTCAGAGTTGCACATATTTGTATTGCAGCTGCCATGTCTGAAACGTACTGGCCTCCACGTGATTGTCTTTTTGCAATAATGACAGATATTGGAGAACAAAAAGTCAGTTTATCTCTAACCATAGTGGTACCTGTGCCTCACTAGAAACTGGTGTCAGATCTCACAGTGAGCTGTGAGTTTTCTTCTCTCCCTGTCTCTGTTTATCCACCCTTCCGGCCACCCACACTCACCCTCAGAATTTGGCCCACATCAGATCCCAACCAAACAAGATGTTGGACTACATATAGACTACATAGCCCTCCACAGGTTGGCTTTGTTTTTTGGGGGGGGGTTTTCCCCCCTGCCACCCATTTTAGATCATCAGCTCCCCCCACCAGACAATCCTCTCGCTGGCTTGACTTAGCTTCATAATTTTTGTTTTTTGTTTTGTCCAAACATTGATAATTGACTTTTATGAATCAGCCCTGGAGGATTTGTGTAAGCCTAAACTTAGTTACCCTTAATTGTAGTTTTTCCTGTAACATGACTAATGCTGAATCCATTTCGCATTATGTGACCACGCTGGTTGCATAAGGTGGTGATGTAGGCCTCCTGAGTCGATTCTCACAAACTGTACCACTGAATGACAAGTCTGTGAGCTAAACATGAAACATAAACAGATTAACAATCTACTTATGCAAATTAGTCACCGCCATAATATACATCACTGTGGCTGCTTTTGTTGTGAGTGAAGTGGGGTGTGCTGCATAGTTGATTTTTAGGCAGCAGTAGCTGCGAAGCTAGGAGGTCCTGGATCACCAGAGGAAGCCTGTGGCATGCACTCTACCCCTCTGGTTCTCAGGATGCAGGATGGGCTGATCAGTAGGACCGCCTGCCTGCGTCTAGACTCAACTAGCCACTTTGGCCCGTACCTCAAAGGAGAGGCTTGGATTTCTTGGGAAACTTTTCCTTCTTGTACACTGTAAATATTTTGCTTCCATCACTCGCGCTCTCATGCTGCTTACCAAATGTGGTCGTCCTGCTCTAAGCGCATACACCCCTCTGTTCTTTTGCCTTGCTGTTTGATCTTTGATGCAGGCCTGGCTGTTTAAAGAATAGCAAAGAGAAAGAAAAGAAGCATTGCCAGTACAATACAATAGCTTAGCTTCACAAGCAGGGTAAGTCTAGGTAAGTCCTGCTTTGAGGCACTTGATTCATGTTAGTGGAACGATCATCTTCACAGCCCACTGACTTTGTTGCATCATGCTTCTTATTTTGGCATCTGTATTTATGTGCAACACTAGATAGGGACATAGCTTCTTGCTAATAACACTGAGACTGTCATTGCTTTGTCATGTGATTGTTGCTGTGGTCAGGGGGGTGGGAAAGTTGAGTGGAATGTAGGCGCACCAGAGAGATCACACTGAGCTGCTCTCTTTTACTTGCAGAGGATTGTAGATTAAAATAGAAAAAGACTTAGCTGTGGTATTCAAAGTGACAATAGAAGTCGTTAAAGAAGTTGAACTTCACACTTTAACATATTTTTTATCCACTTTTCTTACTCCTTATAGGTGAAAGGCCAGCCGGCCAACCAGCCACGTACAGCTAGCTGTCACTATGGATGCCTGTGCCCGTATTCGAGGAGTCCCAATCAGGTCCAGATCCTCAGTGCGGAAAGAGGTCTGTCTGTCAGGATGTATTTGCATTTAATTTTGCACACATGTGCAGTACACTCAGGGCTCCACCCAATGAATTGCCCAGTGGCAGAAAGGTATGTTGAACAAGTTGGTGGGCTGGGAGTTTCACGGTGCTGAGTTCAACTGTGAACCAAACCAGCTGACTTGCCGCTATCAAGTTGTTTTTCTTGCAGTCAAGAATTAGTTGCACATTAAAGGAGTTTGATGAAGGCTATGACCTTTCAAACATTGCAACTCTCTCTCACAGTTCAAAGATATGCGGGGCGTTAAGTTAATTGATGATTCCTGTGTGTGATTGTAAGTGTGAACAGTTGTCAGCCGCGTAAGTTTTGGCCCCCCAACAGTCTGCCGACCTCTCCAGAGCATACCCTGCCTCTTGTTCTATGACAGCTGGGAGGAGTCAGCATGGCACAGTATTTATTCCACTAAAATGTATTTAAAGTTTTGTTTTTTAAGTATGCTGAGGATTAAGATTATTAATATATACATCTACTAAGAAATTACATGATATACTTAAAGATTCAGCTGCTTAGTAGTCTATTAAGTAATGAATAAATGAACTGCTTTAATGTTACTAGTAAAAGTTTTGCCTCCTGGCCTTGGAGATCACTGCCAGTAAGATGCCTGCTTGGTAAGTGTTCACTTTTTCTTAGCTTCAAGTCGGTGTGATGGTTGAGGAATGAAGACACAAGTATAAATACAAACAACAATGCTATGTAGACTCCACTGGATTTCAGTACAAAACTCAGTAACTATATGTTGCGCTTTTTAAAAGAATTTTGTTGCAAAGATATTTAATTTCCTCTCTTATCCCCGCTTGATTTTCATTGTAGTTTCTAATGCAGTTAATTCATTTTCATTTGAAAATGCACAGTCCTGTAGAACCTTATCAGGCATTTTAAAATAATGGGATTGCTTAGGATCTGCGCGTGTACGAGAAGGCAGATGCACACAGTCAAGTTCTTTTTTTTGCATTCCTCGGTGCACGGTGCAGAGATGAATAAAAGTATACTCACTGAGGCCGTAGGCCAGTGTGTACTTCTATTTAAAACAAACAAACAAAAAAAAAGCTGCATGTCTGTTTGCAGACTGTGCGAGACAGTGGGGCGCAGAATGTGAAGAGCCTCTTCAGGAATAAAAAGGAGCTCTGTGGCATTGGTTTAGAGCTGCCAGCAAGAGACGCCACCAGGCTGACAGAGGTATGTCACACAAACGCACCAGTGAAGGTCAGCCATGTTTAAACACATGACACATCAATATTGACCATCAGCTGTGCTTTTTCAGATTCACTTTGTGTGTCTGCCTGATGTAAGTGAAGGAGAAGATGTCACCCAGCAGGTACAACATGTTAGTTATGGACAGTAGGTCATACTTTGATGGTAGAGGACACAAAACTCAAAAACTAAATCTCTGAGTTCTATCCTGGTCTTTTAGTTACCACTTTGGCCTTCAAACTGGGGTGATTCTGAGTGTTCTTGTCCACCAGGCTCTGTCTTCTCTGTCAGGGGGGCTGTGTGAGCTTCTCAGGTCCCTCCACGTCCACAGCATTAAGAACGATGAAGTCCTGCTGCTCAAAGACTCTCGCAGGCTGCCAGAGCACAAGGATGCCGGACCTCAGGTATGTGAATGACCGTTTTTGTGTTAAATGAATTTGTTTTGTCAGCATGTCAAACAAAGCAGAAGTGATTGGAGAGAATAGCAGGAAATAAGAGTGGGTAAGTGTACAGCACTTACTGCCTATCCCAGTAAGTACAGTTGATTGGAAAAGGAGCTCTCTAAACTGACGACAGACACTTTCTCTTGTTTAACATTCTGGTGTTGTATCTTTTTAAATGCATAAAATTTTTGTTTTAGCCTCTCATTCTGGTCTTTAAAAATGTATTGACTAAAAGAGTACTGCAGTGCTTCACTATGCTTATTCAGACCCCAGCTTAGCTGCATTCCTTTTGCTGTCCTCGGGATGTGTTGGGATCTGAATTTATATGTGTAGGGTTAATGATACTTGAAACATGTCCAAACACAGTAAATGTTTAATTTTAAGAAGATGTATTTTTAACAACTGCTAATCCAGTTCTAGCAGTTGTTGATTAAATGTTTTCCCACATGAGGGCTATGTAAGCAGATGTATGAGTCTCTCTCACGCTTCCAAAGAAACACAGGTGTGGGATAGGCTGACAGAGAAGTTGCTTTTGCAGCCGCCACTTTCCTGTTCCTGTGTGCCATGTTTGGGTTCACACAGACCCTGCAGCTCATTCTGTGGCTCTCTCGCCCCAGCTTTGTGAATTAAAGAGTGGGCTAGCACTAAAGGATTTTTGCGTTCTGCATATGCATCAATTTGCAATCAGGACACAGACATAACAATATACTTCCAGCCATCTCCCTCCTCCTGTGAGATAAAAAAAAAAATGCCCATGTGAATTTAATTTACAAAAGCGATTGCTTTGACTGTCTGTCTGCTTGCTGGGTAAAAATGATTTTCTTCAAATGAGCTGAAAAATCACCAGCCAAACCATGCTGTCAGCAATTTTCATTTCCCCCTTATTCCCCTTTCTCATGCCATTTTCCTCTTCCTCCAGTATTGGTTAAAGACAGTGTGTGTGCTGAGGAATAGTTTCAGCACCAACGTTTACCCTCAAGCCAGTGTTCCAACTTTGGTGGGCCTGCTGGGGTGCTACATGGCAGGTCTCCGCTATACGCTGGAGCTTCAGGCTCTTCAGAGGGGCGCAGCTGAGCCCAACCAGCCAGACGAAGACGACACCAACCAGTCGGTCTCATCAATCGAGGATGACTTTGTCACAGCCCTAGAACATCTGGAGGAGGACGACACAGCAGACAATACCTGTAGGTTTAGCAGCCAATGCTTATTGGCATTTAGTGGCCTCTGGTTTTTGAGTCATGTGCAGAAAAGGATTTCTTTTTATTTTAATGCTCTCATAATGCTTGGTGGTATACCACTTGTAATTTCATGTATAATATAGACATTCCTATATTTTCCAAGTAGCACCAACTGGTAAAAAAAACTCCATAGTTGCGCTTAGTATGGGGAAGAGGAGAGAAGAGAGCAGAGATGCCCCCCCAAAAAAGTGTGACCAAACAAGGACCTGTGTCTGCTTTTTGGAACCTTGTTTGGTGTTTGAGGGGGAATAAAAGCTCTTTTGCAAGTATTTCTGCCTCTGTGGTCGGCTCTCCTCTGAGGAGGACTTTCGCAGCAGGCAGAGATTAGCAGGCCTGACACACACACACACACACACACACACGTCCGCGCGCGCACACACAGACTGAGACTGGCAGGATAGTTGAATACTTGAAAATACTCAAATCTGAAAATACTTGAAGGTTTTTGCCCTCAAACTTTGGAGGAAAAAAGTGACATTATACAGCAAAATGTAAAATACAGTTTGTTTAAAAGCTCTAGTGCCGTGGCAGATATTTCATTTTTGATAATACAGCCTAAGAGTAGATTATTTGTTATTTTGCATATTGTTTTGAAATGTAGGGTTCAAATCAGCCAGAGGTGTGAATGTAAGTGTGGAAGGTTGTCTTTCTCTCCGGATTAGTCCTGCGACAGAGTGGTGACCTGTCCAGGGTGTACCCTGCCTCTCCTTCAGCATTGGTCGGAAATTAATCAAACATATCTTGAGCACAAATTGTGCTCAAGGTCATAGTTATCATTTTTTCTACATTCTCAACACATCTAGCCCTATGGAAAGACTTGCATAGAATTATTAATATTGTGATTTAATGTGAAACAATTAGAATCTTACAAGAATAATGTAATATGTATTTTTTCCATCCGCAGCACTATGCTGTCATAATCTGTGCAAACTTTAATTAAAACGTCTCTAGAATGTAAATGGTTTCAGTTCACTGCTAGATGGCACTAATTAGCTATTTACTAGTTTTACTTGTCTGTTATTTTTCCACAGTGCCATGAGCACTGTGGAAAATCATCTTATAATCCCCTCTTTGCAATTGTTGCATCTAACCACTTTTCTCCTCTTTCTCCTTCATGTCCATCTCCACAGCTGCAGCTCCATTTAGTCATTTTAAAAGGCGTGATGTGGCTTCACAGACAGTCCCAGCCCACAAGAGAAAAAAGGAATTATCAGGCTCCCGCGTTATCATAAGCTCGTCTTCGAAGAAGTATTCAGCCAAACACAGATCTGGTCCTGACGTATCTGTCACAGTGCAGAGGTCATCGGGTGTGGAATCCCAGTGGACTTACTGCAGTCCTGGAGCTCGTCTCCCCTCACCTTTGATTCATGTCAGTGAATCAGAAGAGTCAGACTGTTCCAGCCCCAGCCCTATCATTTTCCTGGATGAAGTGGGCTACCAGAAGAGCCTGCTGGCCAAACTGGACATTCCTCAAGTGCCAGGGGGGCCCAGAGAGCGAGTTGAAGACTCAGATTCCGAAGTTAGTGAGTTTTTTGACAGCTTTGACCAGTTTGATGACCTGGATGAGCTCAACTCTGAGAGCTGTACTCTTACTCTGCCTCTGGATGCGATTAGTGTCCCAGCAGCACAGAAAGAGGCTGATGAATCTGGCATAAGTACATCATCTTTAAAATATGTTTCTAGGGGCTGCTCAACCAAGGGAATGAATCCTCACCGCTTTGATCAGCCCACTCTCCCAGCCAATGTGAAAAAACCCACGCCCCTGAAACCAGGCTCTCCTTACTCAATTCCCTCTGAGGTGCCGGATTCCCCTCGGCCTGTACAGACTCCCTCTGAGGAGAACGGTGGTCCCCTCTTCAGTCCTTTGAGCTCCTCTGCCTTCAGTCCCCTGGTGGACTCCAGCGGGCCACTGGAATACTTCTGGAATACAGAGGCGGATGGACAAGATGACTCTGAGCTACGTAAACCTCAGGATCTCTGTTCTTTGTATAAGACCTACTCAGACTTTGCTAGCAGTCTGTCCAAAGAAATTCTCGGATCTGTCTGTGGCTACCAGTCTGCTGTCGACATCAGTGACAACAAGAATCTCTCCTGTGTCTGCCACAAGGAATTTAAGAACCCTTCAGGATACCTGATGAAACTCTCAGAAATACAGGAGACTGTGACGGTGGCCAAGCTGCAGAAGAAATCCCAGTCTCTGAAAGATGGTATTCAGAGGTTTGCCAGTGACCTTGTGGAAATGAGCTTGGGCAGCGCTTTGCGAGACCTCCAAAAAGGGGTGTCCTCCTGCACCACCACCTTGTGCCACCTAGCTGCTCGACTTACCTCCTCAGTATTTCAAATGGCCTTCCATGAGATTGGCATGCGACGTGCATATGTACTGAAGGAGCGAGCAATCAACGGGCTGGCCACTTTCTTGGTTGGAGAGGCCGTGTCCGCAGCGCTCAAAGAGTTCCTGACTGTGAAGAAGCAGATTTTCCACAGCACTGTATCACGTTTTGCTGCTGATCTGGCTGAAGAGCTTGTTTTTGAAGGTATAATGGAAGTATGTCAGTTCTCCCACCCCTCAACGCCTCTCACCCCAAGTGATTGGTCTTTTGGCCATGGGCAAGAGGAGGAAGAAGAGGAGGAGGTGGTGGTGTCCTCCTATGCTTCAGACCTTTCTGAGTCTGTCATCCAGGAGGCCTTCATAGAGCTCTCTCAGGCAGATGTTGCCTTCACAAGCCAAGCAGCTATAAGTGTGTCTGTGGACAACATCTGTTATGTCAGTGCAGATAACACCTGCACTCATACCTGCAGCACCTTTGCTAACCAGCAGGTTTTAAGTGTAGCGGTCCCAGCGGAGGATGCTTCTTGTACTGTGAAGAAAGCCCTGTTCACTGTATCAGGAATGGCCAGCTGTATTCCTGTGCCCCAAGCAGGGCACGCCCTCTCCAACCTCCAGGATTCCGAGGAGACCACTCAGCAGAGGTCTAGCTTGTCACATACCCCACCGACCAGCCCCAAAAGATCAACTGTGTCATCCTCTGACAATGCCACGTCTCCACTAACAGCCCTTTACAGTCATGGAACTCAGACCTCTCTACCAGCAGGAGAGCCCTCCCAAAAACAGTCTTCATTCCAAAACTTCTCTGGCAACATGGTGGATATGATAGTAACTGAGGCTTGTGAGCTAATAACTGCCTCTAAAATGAAGAAGGGTTTTGGCGACTGTGCTGACTTCCTCACAAAGACAATCAGGAGCCGCAGGGACTCTTACGATGCTCTGGATTCCCCTTCAAAGCAAGGAGTTGTCAGGGAAAGTTTTAGATATGACTATACAGATTCTGGGCATGTTAGGCTAGGTGGCCCTATGGGACAAGAAAATAATCCTCCCATTTCCTTTCAGACAGGCACTCTAAACCAGGGGAGTTACCGATGTGAGCGAGGCCCCAGGACCAGGGGTGTGTCTGAAACGCATCCTGTGATGATGAATACTTTGGAAGTGCCGGGTAATGAGACGGGTGGACAAAGGAGGATATCCGCTACTGTGGATGATTCAGCTCCAAACTCTGGACAGAAGTCTGCTGCGACTCCTGGTACTCCTCCGTCCACCCCCCAGCAGCCCAGTGAGGTGTCCAAGGAGAGACAGATAAAGCAGTTCTCCAAAAAGCTGAAAAGCAAGCTGGCTAAAGAATTTTCCCCTGCAACACCACCTCCAACCCCTCACTATCAGCCTGAGCTGGGCCCGGGACCAAAAGACACCATCCCAGATGCAGACAAGGCAGAGTTTATGCTCAAACTGATGAGATCTCTGTCTGAGGAGGCTGATGGAAATGAGGAAGAAGAGGAGGAAGAACCGGCAGAAGAAGGCGGTGTTGGAGTCATTAACACATGTTCAGAGAGAGGGGGCGGCCGACACACACCCAGCCCGATGTGCGCTCGCGTAATGTCCAACAAGGAAGCTCTCCACTATGCTGAGCGGTTGGCGTGCCACATAGTCTCGATGGCAACAGAGATGGACACCCTAGGAGGGGCGGAAGAGGAGCAGGGAGAGATGAACCAGGGCAGTGAGAAGAGGAGAGACAGTGTGGCTCAGTTTTCAGAGCAGACCCTCAACTCATTGTGGGTGTATGCAGGAGAAGTGGCGGGAGAGGTAATTAGTGATGTGAAGAGGATGGTGAGCTCTGGACAGCAGTGCCCGTATCACAGAGCTCTCAGAAGAAGAAGCTGGGACAGATCTAGCTCCGAATGTTTGCATTACCACCACAGACATCACTCTCAACCCGGTACAGATCAGAGCAGAGACTGGAGGTTAGGAAGGCTGGCTGAGCAGTGGTCCAATGACCTGATTGCCTCGGTCTCCCAGTCTTCCACCTCTGCTTCGAGCACTGTGTCTAGCTCCAGCTCTGGTCTATCCTCTGAGTATCCCAGCTGTGAGAGCGTGACAGATGAGTATGCCGGCTACCTCATTAGGGTGCTGAAAAAGGAAGGGGGGAGTAGGGAGTTAGTCCTGGACCAGTATGCAAGCCGTTTGGCTTATCGTTCTATAAAACTTGGCTTGGCTCACGCCAGTCGTAAAATAAAGCAGAGATCCTCTAGTGCACGTCTTCGCTCCTCTAAGTCTCTGCCAGATGAATGGAAATCGTCTTGTAGTAGTAAAACGTCATCAGCCAAGGATCGAACAGAGATGGATAGAAACACCCAGTGTTGTTGCAGGGACTCTGAAGAGCAGAGTAAGAGGGAGTACATGGATCTAGTCCACTTTGCTGAATCTTTAGCATATAATATCACCTGTGATGTCACACGCAAGCTCCATCTCTCCTCTGTACGGCTGCCAAAGTCTTTCACTGACTCCTGTCTTTATAAAAAATCCAAACTGGAAGACATGGCAGAGAATCTCATCAGGAACTCCTTCTCCTGCCCTCTGTTATCCAAGGAGGGTAAGAGCAAGCACTACCACAGCACAGGGAGTCTCTACGATCAAGGTTACAGTAGCAAGGTGATGCAAGTCATTGAGCATTATGCCAGGAAAATAGTGGATGACACGCTGAAGATAAGCGTGGCTTCAGTTGGCCATTCATCACGGGAGTACCAAGACCATGACAGACACACTCACACACAGAGGTTGTCTGAGGGCCCAGTTCTGGTCCGGACAATGGGGGAGAGGCCATGTTGTTGCTGTCAAGTCCAGGAGTGTCCATACTGCAGCAAGCACAGCAGGCACCACTACCAACCTGTGCTGCAGAGGAGGAAAAGGGGAGGAGACTGTCAAGCAAGAGTGCTCTCTAGTCTGGAGATTCCAAAAATCCACATCGACCTGGACCACAGGGTGGCATTTGCAGAGGAGATGGTGTCCATGGCAATGGATACAGCAAAGCGCGAGCTGAGCAACACCAGCCTTAATGCTGACAGCGGGATCGGCCATGATGGCACCAGCTACGCCGAGAGCCTCACTGCTGAGATCATGACATCAGCCCTGTCCAACATATGCCAGGCTGCCCTTACCAGGTACACACTTCCCAGTTCACATCAGGAAGAGTGTTTGTTTGCCCCGAAATTCATTCCATGCATACGTTTAATCAATGGCCAGGCCATAAACATGTGTTGTAACCTATAATCAGCTTTGTTTCACTTCTTTTGACAAACATTTTAATGTTTTATTTTCCCAGTTTTACTGCACTGACATGTGACTATTTGCATTGTTATTGAGGCTTTTTTTCCTTTCTCTCTCCTTTGGTTTCTTTGTATTTAGTGCTTCAGGTAGGGAAACCACTGAGTCCACTGTGTCCCAGCAGCTGAGTGTTGGAGATGACAGCCTGGGAAGCTGGTCTAACCTGAGCTTTGAAGATGAGCACCCAGATGATAACAGCAGCTTCCTCCACCTCAGCGACAGGTAAACACACCTAACTTTATATCTATCACCTCTAGAGCACAGTCCAACTTGGTGCTTTAAAATATACGTTAGAATGGGGTCTGAGAACATTTGTAGTGCATTCCTTATTATACACTTATTTATGCACAGCTTTTTAACCAGAATTTGAAAGAAAGAATCAGATTGTGATTCATGGAGTGGACACACACACTAACATATAAAGATTTTTTCCTTTGGATGATTTTTAGCTTCAAGCTTTTGTTTGTGGCAATAAAACATCTACCTAAGGCACTTTCACTAAAACATCTGAAGGATCCTTGAGAGTAAATAAACTACATACGGGGGCGCTCCCCTTGAGAATTAAAGGTTTGGTTGTTTTTTTTTTTTCCTGTTTTGCATTCACACCCACAATAGGAACTCTAATGTCACATAAGAACCAGCTGGTGGTTGGGTTAGCAACTATAGCAACCACAACAAGTCTGAGAACAAAGTGATCATAGCTGTGTGTCGTGGGTTTCATGATTAGCTTAGTTGGAAAGCAGACATGCAGATTTTGACTTTATGGTTGAAATCACCCAGTTTGTGCTCCTTGAGGTGACATTGCCAGTAACTGTCTTTGTGTGTTGTTATACCTTGAATGTGTAATGACACAGAAGTCTCTGCAGCTCCCAATAACCCTCATGATCACCACCAGATCCCAGACTAATAGATCCTTTGTGCCTGTTTTAACATATGCCAGTGGCACAGTGGTTAGCACAGTTGCCTCACAGCAAAAATGTCCTAAGCTCAATTCCATCATCAGGTTGGAGTCTTTCTGTGTGTGATGCATGTTGTAGGATAGGCTGGATAGGCTCCAGCCCCCCTGCGGCCCTGTAAAGGATAAGCGGAACCACAAGCAGAAGCAATCAAGAAAAGAGAAACAGAAAAGAACTTGATAGAGACCAAATTATGCTTTATAAACTGCTTACTGTATTATGGGAAATCTCCCAGTAGTCTGATACTATAGAAGCATAACTAAGGGGTGGTTCAGGGTTCCTTGATCCTGTAAGCATTAAAAAGGAACATTTTAAGCCCATTTTTCAAAGCTGAGGGTCTGTCTCCAGACTTTGTCAAAAATTCCCTTTTTTGATAGAAGGTAAACGAGGCGCGACAAAATGCGACGCACAGCACATTCTAGGAACTTTGATTGTTGCTGGTTGCCGATACACTGAAAACATCATTATTTCTCAGATGGTGTAATGTTCAGTACCAATTATTTTGTATATGATTTAACCCACATTTAATTACCTAACGTTAAATGGAAGAGGTTTACTACTCAGAATAAATGCTAATATTAATATGGGAGAAAAACCCCCCAAAAATTAGTAGACAGTGGAGCTCTTTAATGGTTTATTATTGCATTTCACTGTTTAGCTAACAAAACTGAAATGGTGCAAGCATCATCCTGAGAAGTTTCCGACAGGTAAGCTGAAATAAACCTTGCTGTACAAACATGAACATAAATACTTATTTATTTTTCATGTTCCAAACTCTGCACCATGGCCAAGACTAAAGAGCTTTCCAATGATGTCAAGGACAAGATTGTGGGCCTACACAAGGCTGGAATGAGCAACAACTGTGACTCACTAACACTAACTGACCTTACTGCTCCAGGGTGCCGGCGTTTTAGTGCTGTCGTGGAAGGAAAGCACCGGTTTGCACAATCTGCATTGAACTTTGTTTTCTGTGGAATGCTTTCAAAATGTTTAAAATCTCAGTTTCTATTTTCTTCAGTCCTCCTGTTTTGCTGTTTGTGCTACATTCTTCTTCAGTATTGTCTAGTCTTGGCAGACGATATAGGCAATACTGCCCCCACAGTTTCCTGTAGTGTATTGCAGTTACAACACATTTATTAGCATATGAAACTGTTAACAATAAAATTCCACGTCAAATAATTTTTATAGTCGTTGCAGCTCTGCTTGGTACAGACTGATACTGCATGTCTTGTATGCAGTATCAGTCTACATGTGGGTATGCAGTAAAATGTTTTTTCATGTTTTTGTGACAGCTGCTACCATTTCTTTTGTCACAGCAAGTAGTATCCTTTTTTTCATCAGGTTATCTATCATATGTTTCTGTATTTAGTTGTTTCAGAATGGACAGTCTGTTAATGTCCAAGCAGAAGACATTGAATGTAATCTATTGTTCTTAATTGGTTTGGGTTCAGAATTTAAAGCCTGAGGTTATACTTTGATCATACTGTGTCACTTTATGTTTTTGGGGGTTTTTTTGGAGGGTTTTTTGCTCCCGTTGGAGCCATTTTAGGAGTCTTTTCTGCAGTTCATTGTAGATGTAAGGTTTCCCAAAGACAGTGCAGATTGTATGTTTTTCCAAAATCATTTAAACTTGACTGCCAGAGTGCAAGTTTTCTCTGATTTATGTTGCATTATATGTGAGGGCTAAAGGATAAGTATTTTAGATTACTGTCTATGTTACCAAGTTCTAAGTAGTTGTAGGCATGACCGATTTGGTCTTCTTGTCTTGGATGGACATGACCTATGTTTGTGTGTGTCAATTTACAAAAGAAAAAAAAAGTGAGTGAGTCTGATAAAGTCTCTGGGAAATGGGCTGTTGACAGTTCTGGCAGGGGTTGATATCTCTATGGAAGCAAACCTGACAATGGGTTTGTTCCCAACATGCTAAAAGAGCATATTGTGTTAGCATTAAGTTATTTTGGCCATCAGGGCAAAGTTAATGTGTCATAATATTTTCTAAAGGTGTGTCTTTAAGTGCTCACCTCTCTTCAAGTGCTGTTTCTACTGGAACAAAGTCCACCATGTGTAATTCATAAGACATTTCAAAGGCCTGCTGCTACTATTTCCGCTCAGCAGATGAAATAACGGGGGGAAAATTCCTTTATGAGTTTAGCGAGACAGAGATCAGGCTGACTGACTAGATGAATCACCTCTCAGTATGCCATTCAGACCACACCTGCCGCTGAGGTAATGCAGATTAATAGAGGTATTTTTAGATATCAGAAACATCTCTCCCTTTTAGTTAGGCTATAGCATGCCACAGTATGCAGGTTCCAGCCAGCAAGGCTAATCATTCACTAATTATAGCGAGAGTGTATGTTGTTATGCTTCTGTTGCCAGCTGGTTGTCCCGCTGGAAGCCACATGATTAACGAGATTATGTGAGAACAAAAATGTAATGATCTCACATTTCAGGACTTTAGCAACAAATGGGCCCAGTCAACATTAAAGCTGATTCAGGGAGGTGTACAGTGGAAAAAACCTGCATCATTTGAAGAATCCTCCTCTGTTTTTTCAACCTCACCTGACATTTAAAGGATTACCAGAAATGGTCATCCACCTCCGTGTTGTTTATTGACGATACATGACAGTAAGCTCTTATAGCAAATGTGATGAAACTGCTTATTACATCCTGATCTTTTGTTGCATTTTGGTAGCTCTCTGTGTTAGCCACTTACTGTGTCAGTGTTACAGCGGTGTGTTACCTGCCTTCTGTGTCCTGCAGTAATGGGAATAGCAGTAGCTGGAGCAGTCTGGGCCTGGAGGGGGAGGCGTGTGAAGAGCACTTGTCATTCTCCCCCTCTGACAGGTTGGTCAGCACCCGATTGGCATGGCTATCCTTGGAAAAGAAATGCACACAAGACATGGGGGTTTACCTAGAATGTGACAAAGAATGAACTGAATTTGCTATGAAAGCACCACAAAGTACTGAAGTATGTGATAGATCCACCAGTGGAAAATCTTTCTTCATCATATGAAAATGATTTAAACTGCCACTCTACAATATTCTGATTTATACTTTGTCTCATACTAGGAACCACCAGCCCCCTAACATGACCATACTTGAGCTTTAAACATTAATAGGCTTGACATGGCAAATGCTTGTTGATGCTAATCTTAGCATGCAATGTGTTGCTTAAGTTTTGTTGGTTCTGCATTGCTTGCATGCAATTTTTTGTCTTTGTGGGAAATATGTAGTGTTATTATTTTGTCCATGTTGTATTACCTCTGAACAGCCAACCAGTCCCTGAAGAACAACGTGGAGGGTTATTTTTCATTTAATTTCATAGTTTTAGAAACTATAATATATTAACTTTCAAATTAAGTGTCTTGCATGCATTATGACCGGGCATCCATTTTCCCCCCCACTTATCTAAAGTCTAGTCACAGAGCAGGTTTCCTTTTGGAAAATCCCGAGATAGACCCAAGCTAGTGAATTCTAGATATACCCTGTGGTCTCCTCCTACTTGGGTGTCCCTGGAAAACCTCTAAGTTAAGCCTCAAGGCACCTTGATCAAATACCCAAAACACCTCACCTGCCTTAAGCATTGGGAGTACTCTGGGCTCCTTCTGGATGTCCAAGCTCCTCAGCCAGTCTTTTCGCCAAGCCTAAACTCATTTTTCTTGCTTCTTTCCTAACATTATTTTTTCAGTGACCACCCAGAGCTCATGATTGTAAGTGAGAGTTAAAATGTAGATCAAAAGCTCTGTGGCTGGTGCGCCAGTTTACCTGTTTCTCTCACACCCCACATACTTTTTTTTCTTGTGAACAAAATCCGAAGATACCCAACCTTTTTAGACTAGGGCGGGGTCTCTCCCCAAACTTTGAGGTAGCAATCTGTCTTACTTTGTGTTTTGCCGTTTCATGAATGTAAGTGATTCATGAAACTGTAAGGATATGTAAAATAGTTGGAAATGTCATACAAAGGGAAACCTAAAGCTAATCTTAAACAGGTAGTAGACATGGTGGATGTTTAGAGGTGGCTGCATATATCAGTCTTGCAGCTGTTGCAACTAGAGATGGCACGATACCACTTTTTTATGTCTGATACCAATATCATAAATTTGGATATCAGCCGATACCAATATGAATCCGATAGTGTTTTTTAATCAACAAAACTGTTTTTTTTTTAAATATTTTGTATATAAGTTCATACTCAAGTTAAAAAAAACAACAAAAAACCCCACAAAAATACAGTATGCACCCAAAATATTTCATAGTTCAGCAATACTGATCAGTCTAATAAACTTAAATCTACTCCATCCTCCCTATTCTGGTATTTTAAAGAGTAAGCACCCTAACTAATAGGGTTCTAAAACTCCCAGCAAAAAAAATTAATAAATAAGGAACCACCCTCCACCACATGATGCTTAATTGACGTAATCAACTTCAATTTGATGCAGTGTGGAAAAAAATGCAAAGATGTATTGCCATGTACTACCCAACTGACAGTACTACCAATCATTTATTTAGTCTTCCTTTCTCAGGCTGATGAATGGATTTTCTTTCAGCTTGTTTAGCAGCTTCAACTCAAAATGTGCTTTTAGAAAATTCCAGTATCATTTCAGCTCTAGGTGCTACCACTGAACGGCTGTATTGAAAATCTAAAAAGCTAACACATTCAGTTGTCCTTTTATAAGATATTATTTGACCGGATATATTAACATAGCCGGTCTGTTTGATATTTGAGACCTCTGAGAACAGAGTATCTCTGCATCTTGTCATTCCCTTATTAGTCCATGATCAGAGCTGGCAATAAATATTCACAGGTTTGTGCATTTTGATAGTCATAACATCAACTAAAGCCTGATGGCTTCCAAGATTATATCAAAAGTGCAACAGATTTTTCAATATGAAACATGTCAAAACTTTTAGTTAAACAAAGGTGTTACAGGTCAGAAAAAAGAAGAAAGGATAACTTAAAGCTATTCTGAATCCACATTGATGTGTCTTGCTGATTAAAGCAGAGCACAAGGTTGACTTACAGATTTGCATTTTGTATTAGTTCTTATATTAGCAATTGTGCTTTTACTTTGATTTTGGTTAGTGTAGTTTTCATCAGCTTACAGTGGTGTAAAATGTATAATATATTGTAATTTCTTCTGTCTAGAAATAATATGTTTATAGTAACAGAATATAATGTCAGTATATAATGACTAGCATTCATAAAATATTTAATAAGTTTCCGTACTGTTTTAGTGGTAATAAATCCCAAGACGATTATTGGTTAATAATTTCTTTGTGATCTAATTAATATTCAGTTGCGTGTTAATAATAATAAACTACTAAAAGTATTTTTTTAAATTCAGTTTATTAACATTATAGAGTTTTGTTTTAATAATAAGCTATTTTTATATATGTTGCTCACACCCACAGTTACTTGATGTTGAGCGTAGTAAATAGCAGTTTTGTGGCTACCAACAGGTGGCAGATTTCTCACAGAGTCACATTTTGTGGTTTAGTTCTTTTTAAAGAATTCAAGAGATGTTAAAATGGAGGGAAAAAGGTTTGATTCATGCATTGTGTGAGTGAAACCTCAAGTAGACAGACACACAAAGATTTTCTAACTAGGAAGTACTCCACACCTATAGGTTTATACTGTTCAGGCACCTCCATTGATGCCCATATATATTTTGAGTGCATAGCTTTATCGCCCTCCTTCTTAGTTCGCCTCCTCTCCCTACTTTTTCAGTGCCGTCGCTCCTTTGCAGTCTCAAACAGTGAAACACCTTAAACGGTTTTCCTTTCTGAAAAGAAAATGATATCCTTATATCCTAACGTGCAGAGCCTGAGTGTCTGTAGCTGTGGGCTGTGTCAACAGGCCTGTGATTAACAACCTTATAAAGTGGTGAAATGACTGTTTACCTGCTGGCACGTCACACAGCAAATATTTGCACAATTGACAGAATGGATATCAAGTAGCTTTTCAGAAGGGAAAAATCAACTTTCACACTGATCAAGATCTCCTCTTCGTCACTGCGCATTAACTGACAAAAGACACCTGATCAGAAAAGTCAATTTACAGGAATTCAGGAAAGATATACGGCATCACCGTGTCTAAGACGTCTTTTGATCAGAATTGCTTTGATTGCAGTGTTTGTGTGCTTTGCTTTTGTCAAAGGCTATTAGCTTTAGTGTGCTTATTGCCATTTCTATATCTTTGCATGCATCCTTGTGTGTCCGACCTGTTCTGTCTTCTTACTACCCTGTGTGGCGTTTCTCATCCAACAGTGACAATACAGAGGACAAGGAGGCTGAGGTCAAAGAGGAATCAAGTGGTAAGCACGTTTTATTGCCTGCAGCATCTTTCTTTCTTTAATGTTTTTAAGTAGACTGTGGCAGTGCTACAGGTTAATGTTTGGAGTTTTTGGGACATCTAATGGAAAAAAAAAAAAATTGTGCTCTTGCTCTTTGCTGTCCGAGACACAGTTGGATTCCAGCTGACTGTGTTAGTCTGTATTGTTGCCGGGGATTTAACCACCCCCACATTCAGCCACACTAATACTCATGCATGCACTCCATCAGTCGCTCTGTCTTCTGTATGTCTCAGACTACAATTGCCTCCACTTAAAGGGGTCCCCTTATTGTGTTTGCTGTGCTATGGAAACCTGGGTTTGAGCAGATCAGGACATAGTGTTCTAAAGAAGGAGCGCTAGAAAACTGAAAAGGTGTGGCTGACGGCTGAGTGAATCTTTTTTCTCTGTGCTGCAGGGACACTCTGTGTGGACAGGACTCAAGTGCAAACTCCCAGGACTGTGCTTGTCATAGCAAACTCAGATGTCAGAGATCCTGGGAGTGGCCCTAAGCACGTCACCCTAGACCCCCAGCTCAGGAGCATGCTACAGTGGCTGGCAGCCTCCATGGCCGATATCCCTCAGATCCAGCTAAGTCCTGACAGAGAACTGCAGCAGGTGATTGTGGCTATATTCCTCACAAACAGGTTCCCTCTGTGGTCTTCATTAGTCAGCACTAAAACTCTTTTTAAGCCACGTCATGTCGCTTCAGTGAAAGAAGTCATTCTTTCCGTGATTGTCTGTTTTGAAGGTCAACAATCCTGTAAAGTTCTGTGCTGGTTCCCACCATACTGTGCTTTGCTATGGAGACAAACAGCTGAGAAGCACCAGCTACTGTGACGATTGAGCTGTAGATTTTTCTTTGGAAAAATCACCAGTAATTTCACCAGTTTGTTCCTGTTTTCTGCATTTCAGTAAAGGTCATAGTCATCGCTGTTAACTGACAAAACTTAATGGTATATATTGTTATACAATTTCCAAAGCCTGCACAGCCAGTAAAATTGTGGGGTGATACAGATCCTGATGTTTAAATATGGCCATGTGCAATGTTCATATACTAATTTTACTCTTTTTGCTTTTTTTGTTTTTCTTATTTAAAAACCCTGTTTTTGAACAAAAGCACAATCTCAAACATTTAACACTGTAATATTATAATAATACAGCAAAACATCTGCTACTGGGATGAGATTCTCTTTGCTTTATTTGATGGATTTTGGTCAAATAACGCCAGTGTATGGATATGTGACCTACACATATTAAAATGAGCCCCTTTTCTATTAGTACCTACTCTGATTGACTTGCCACAGTTTTCAGGTTTCCATTAGGTCATAGTACCTGGTACTAAGTAATAAAATAGTACCTTCTCGGCCGGGGTTCCAAGCAACACATACTAAAATGTGACATCGTCAGACTGCATGCCACCGATTGGCCTGGTCATTGGCATCACTCGATGGGTCATGAGAACATAAATCGCTACAAAGAAACAAGTCTGACAAAAAGCCACAGATCGAGCAGCAGATTGATCGTACTCTATTTTAATGGAAAACCAGTCGATCTGAGTCGAGTCGTGGTGAGCCGTGGAGAGTCAATCCGAGTAGATACTAATGGAAAAGGGGCTTAAGTGTGTTTCAACTTGGGAACGGTACAAGCATTCAAGAGTTTCGTGTTTCAGGAGTGTGTTACAATGACTTTTTAGGCATTACATTTACTTTAGTAAACATGATTACATTACATCATGTTTAATTTCAAACCCTTACAATTCTAATTTAACTGTATTATTATTATTATTATTGTTGTTGTTGTTGTTGTTGTTGTTGTTGTTGTTATTGTTATTATTATTATTATTATTATTATTATTATTATTGTTTTATTTTATTTTTTTGAAGCACAGCTCTCTGCTTAGGTTATATTCAGAGAATTTTTGAGTTCCTTTTTTCCCCAGGCAGGAAGAAGTATTAACTAACACCCTTTCACTACTACTTCAGTAGTCAGCTTGTAAGGAAATCCTAAAGATTCTGAAAGTACAGGGTGGGCCATTTATATGGATACACCGTAATAACATGGGAATGGTTGGTGATATTAAAGTCCTGTTTGTGGCACATTAGTATATGTGAGGGGCAAACTCCTCCAGATGGGTGGTGACCATGGTGGCCATTTAGAAGTCGGCCATCTTGGATACAACTTTTATTTTTTCAATAGGAAGAGGGCCATGTGACACATCAAACTTATTGGTAATGTCACAAGAAAAACAATGGTGTACTTGGTTTCAACGTAACTTTATTCTTTCATGAGTTATTTACAAGTTTCTGACCACTTATAAAATGTGTTCAATGTGCTGCCCATTGTGTTGGATTGTCAATGCAACCCTCTTCTCCCACTCTTCACACACTAATAGCAACACCGCAGGAGAAATGCCAGCACAGGCATCCAGTATCCGTAGTTTCAGGTGCTGCACATCTCGTATCTTCACACCATAGACAATTGCCTTCAGATGACCCCAAAGATAAAAATCTAAGGGGGTCAGATCGGGAGACCTTGGGGGCCATTCAACTGGCCCACGACGACCAATCCACTTTCTAGGAAACTGTTCATCTAGGAATGCTCGGACCTGGCACCCATAATGTGGTGGTGCCAGCTTCAGTGCATAAAGAGGGAAACACATCATCATGTAGCAGTTTCAAATATCCAGTGGCCTTGAGGTTTCCATTGATGAAGAATGGACCCACTATCGATGTACCCCATATACCACACCAAACCATCACTTTTGTTGTTCCAACAGTCTCGGAGGGATCCATTCAATGTGGGTTAGTGTCAGACCAATAGCGGTGTTTTGTTTGTTAACTTCACCATTCACATAAAAGTTTGCCTCATCACTGAACTGTTTTGCCCATTCTGCAAATTCTGTGCGCCAATCTGGGTCATCCTCGCTGAGATGCTGCAGTAGCTGGAGTTTGTAAGGGTGCCATTTGTGAGTAGCTAATATCCGCCGAAGGGATGTTCGATTAATGCCACTCTCCAGTGACATGCAGCGAGTGCTACGCTGTGGGCTCCTGCTGAATGAAGCTAGGACAGCCACTGATGTTTCTTCATTAGTGACAGTTTTCCTGCGTCCACATTTTGGCAAATCCAACACTGAACCAGTTTCACGAAACTTAGCAAGCAGTTTGCTAACTGTAGCATGGGAGATGGGTGGTCTCGTAGGGTGTCTTGCATTGAAATCTGCTGCAATGACCCGGTTACTGCGTTCACCAGATATCAACACAATTTCGATCCGCTCCTCACGTGTTAACCTCTTCGACATGTCAATGGCTGTGAACAAAGAGAAACTTGTAAATAACTCATAAAAGAATAACGTTACGTTGAAACCAAGCACACCATTGTTTTTCTTGTGACATTACCAATAAGTTTGATGTGTCACATGGCCCTCTTCCTATTGAAAAAAAACAAAAAACAAAAGTTGTATCCAAGACTTCTAAATGGCCACCATGGTCACCACCCATCTTGAGGAGTTTGCCCCCTCACATATACTAATGTGCCATAAACAGGACTTTAATATTGCCAACCATTCCCATTTTATTATGGTGTATCCATATAAATGGCCCACCCTGTAGAATGGAAGGCAGAGCCTTCAGTTGTCAGGCCTCCCATGAAACCAGGTCCCAGTTTAGATTTAGGACACAGAGTCCCTCTCTACAAACCCAGCTTACTGTGGTTCAGGTGACCCTGAACATCCCCCTTAGTTGTGCTGCAGTAGGCTTGGGCTGCTTGGGGACTTCCCATGCTGCGCTCAGCAATTCTCCTTCAATCCCCACATTTCACACTCTGTTTTTATGCCACTATTGCATCTCATTAACTTTTATTTACTCTCTCCTGTAAGTTCTGTTTTGTTCAGTTTGTTGCTCGCTATCTCTCCTTTTTCCTGTCACTCCACAAAATGAGGGAGTTCTTCCTCCCTCACATTGCCAAGCATTTGCTCTTTCTAATATTATGAAGTCTTTTCAATACAAGATAAATGCCTTGAGATTACTGTATAATCAATGTGTCCTTTCAGCTCCCAGTGGTAGTCCAGAGGCTTCGAGAGAGGAAGTGGAAGGTGGGTGAGCTGCTGCACATGCTGCTGCGCTACTGTGATGTGAGCCACAGTCAGCCCGAGGCCAGAGAAGAGGCACTTGAGGCCAGCAAAGAACCTCACTGCATCTCCCTCTTCCAGTGGCTTCTGGAGCGCACCTAAGGCCTCTGCTTTTTTCCCTCCTTGCTCTCCTCTCATTATTTCCAAACAGGGCTTTGCAACCTCTGTGAGCCCCATAAATCTGAACTCCCTCTCACAAATGTGGGCAGCACGTGTGTTGCATTGCGTGTTGCGTGTATGGCATGCCATCTTTTCCCGTTGTTTTTTTTGTTTTTTTTTTGGTTTTTTTTTCCTCCTCCCCAGTTTCTGTTTTGTTGCTGCAGTTTCATCAGTTATCAGGCCTGTATGTGTAACCTGTGTTGATTTAATGAGGTGTCTCCTTTGCTCGCCTACACTCTTGAATCGAAGGCCTCACACCTTGCTGTGCTTAAGCTACAATAAGTGGGGGAAGACCCACCCGGTGTGTTTCCAGAGGGAGATGCAGTGTGTTGGGAGAAAAGACAGACTGGGAATCCCCACAGCTGCTGGGTGGATGATGTCATCACACCCACACCTCACCTCTCTGGTGGTATTTCCACATGTTGAGAGACCAACTGTACACGCGCACATATGCACACACAAACACATTTTGATTATTAGAACCAATTCAAGAGAAAAATTTGCATTTCCTGCAAAAATGCTGTGTGGATGCTGTAACGCTAAAGCTGTCTGCTGAAAATAGCTGAAAAAGATGAAAAGTTGCAAAAATTGTATGGTGGTGAAGAAACTGAAAATTCTGCTGAAAACAGCTGAAGAAGTAGAAATCTTTGCTGAAAAGAGGTGAACTGTTGCCATGAGCAGGATTCAAACCTGGCCCTCCTGGCCTCAAGGCGGCTACTCATCTCACTGACCCAAACTCGTTCTCACAAAAAAGAGATGGAGAAACTGACAATTCTGCTAAAATGAGCAGAAGATGCTGAGATTTGTGCTGATAAGAGGTGAAAAGGCTGAAAATTCTGCTGAAAATAGGTGAATGAGCAGAATTTCTGCTGAAAATAGTTTTTTTTTCTGAAAACAGCTGAAAAAGTTGGGATTTGTGCTGAAAGGGGGTGAAGAAGATAAAATTTCTGTTGAAAAGAGTTAAAAATGTTTAACTGTTAACTGAAAGAATTGTTGCCATTAGCAAGATTTGAACCCAGGCCTCCCAGTCTGAGGACTGGGTGGATGGGATGCTTTACAGCATCCACACAAATATATGAACACAATTCCGTTACTGTCTTGATCCACTAGAGTTGTGCTGCAGTAAATACATTTAGCTTTTCTCTAAATGATTCACTACGCTGCCATACAGAGAGGTTGATAAAACTCTGTTAAGCCCACCTCTTTAGTTTAATGAACTGTGCCGTCATTTTTGCAATGATGATCATGAGCAAATTTATTTGGCCACAGAATAAATAAGAGTTTTACCTAATACTGTAACCCTGCTTCTTCTAGTAGCAATCTACTTGGTTGTCATACTTAGTAAAATATTAAAGAGGAGAATGAGTCATAGTGAGGATTTATTAAAAAAGAAAAGAAAAAATAATCTTTGTATGTATGTACAAGGATTATTTTTCTATTTCTTTTTATAGATGTAAATATAAATATGCCTTATTTTTTTGAAGGTAGAGTATCTAATCCAACATGAAATGCTGCTTTTACTTGTGGAGGAAATGGTCACTTTGGCTTACCGCTACTAAGCCGGGTGACTGATCACCCTCTGCAGTTCAGTAGTTAATTGCGTATGGCGGTCAGCTGTGTCAGTGGCCCTCGTCCAGTCTTGGGGAAGATCCAGTGACGCAGATAGCAGATCGTTGAGTAATTAAAGACACCGGCTCTGTCTGCACGTCGTAAAACCGCAGGCTAGCAACATCTGCGTAGCTCAGGCCTGGACTCACACATTCTGTCACCCACACTCCACAGTCACCTCGAGGAGTCGACGAGTATGAATACCACAACTTCCGTACAGTAACCTGCCCCCCTACCCCCACCTCATCGGTGCAACACACACACACCCTCATTACTCACCAGCCCCCACATGCACAGCACTACCAGCTACTTGCTGAGAAGCACTTTTTTTTTTTTTCTTCCCCCCCCCCTTTTTGGACTTAGCCTGAGGAGAGACTGGGCGTTTCCTATCCCTCCTCTGTGGACCTAAAATCAATCTACAAATTAATGGGATACATTTGGATGTTTGTATTTATTTATTGTTGTTGTTGTTGTTGTTGTTGTTGTTGTTTGTTTGGTTTTTTTTTGTTATGTTCTGTTTTTCCCCTAATGAGGGACTGAAGGATGACATGATGCTGCAAGGTCGTCAAATTTAAGTTTGAAACACTGTAATATACCACAGTCTCACATGTATTATTATAAAACTACGTGTTGTCGGTGGTGTTCGCCTGCATGGCTCAATCTAACTTTTAAAGCTTAACATTGTTACTCTCCTCCTTGTGCTGGCCTACAGTAATGGTGCAGCAGTGATTCATGTGTGTCCACACTGCCTCACAGTATGCTAGAGGCCTCTGCAGATGCCTTCTTTGTTCCTGCTTAAATCTCTAGGCTGCCATATGGTCATATAATCTTAAAGGTGTTTGTTCTGTATGAATTGTTTACACATTACAATATTAATAGAAGAAAAAAAACAATGGAA